CCCCATGACTCCCCCACATGTGTGGCTTCTAGCCAGTTGGCTAAAGATTTGGGTGGACCTTATAGTCGAATTTGGGGGTTCACCTGCTGTGTGGCTCTGTTTCTTCCCCCACACACACAACATTGTGAACTCTCTCCTCTGACACTTCAAGATGACCAGGCTGATGCTTTCTGCCACCCAAGCATTTGTGGACTGGGCTGTGCCACCAAGCAAAAAGCCAGAGTCACCAACCAATCTGACAGTGGTCTTTCAAGGGTGGACTCCCTGGCAGTGTCTGCCTGCTTTGGTCACCCCCTGGTGTCTTTAAATAGTTGCTTTAAAAAAAAATACTTTGCCCAGATTTTGTAATTGTTATCTGCAGGAGGGTTAGTCCAACCAATATGCTCCACCATTACTGAAAGTCAGTGCTCTTTTGTATGCCTTTTTTTTTTTTTTTTTTTTTTGCGGTACGTGGGCCTCTCACTGTTGTGGCCTCTTCCGTTGCGGAGCACAGGCTCCGGACGCGCAGGCTCAGCGGCCATGGCTCACGGGCCTAGCCGCTCCGCGGCATGTGGGATCTTCCCGGACCTGGGTACGAACCCGTGTCCCCTGCATCAGCAGGCGGACTCTCAACCATTGCGCCACCAGGGAAGCCCTGTATGCCTTTTAAAACACATTTTTTGGGACTTCCCTGGTGGTCCAGTGGTTAAGACTTCCCCTTCCAACGCAGGGGGTATGGGTTTGATCCCTGGTCGGGGCTAAGATCCCACATGCCCCGCGGCCAAAAAACCGAAACATAAAACAGAAGCAACATTGTAACAAATCCAATAAAGACTTTAAAAATGGTCCACATCCAAAAAATCTTTTTAAAATACGTATAAAAGCCTTTTTTTTTTTTTCCTGAGGTACGCGGGCCTCTCACTGTTGTGGTCTCTCCTGCTGCGGAGCACAGGCTCCGGACGCGCAGGCTCAGCGGCCATGGCTTACGGGCCCAGGCGCTCCACGGCATGTGGGATCCTCCCGGACCAGGGCACGAACCCGTGTCCCCTGCATCGGCAGGCGGACTCTCAACCACTGCGCCACCAGGGAAGCCCTAAAAGCCTTTTTTTTTTTTTTTTAAACCTAAACTTTGATGTGCTCAGAACCCTTGATTAATGGACCCAAATAAAACATTTTTTCAGGAAACTGGATCAGCTCTTGTGCAACCTACAATCTTGATTATCTTAGGAAGGATTCCACATTCTCCGTAGATGGGCCTGTTGTGTGTTCATATATTAGAGCAGCCAGGCTGTCCCACACAGCGTCTGTCAGTCTGTCTGTCTGATCCTAGCGTCGAGGAATGAATCGGGGAGCAGAACAGTCGGTCTCAAAAGGTCATTACCTTTTCCAGAAGGGTCTTAGTTACCCCTGAAATAACCAGGTAGATCGTACATTTTCTGAAACCTTTATGAACCTATTTGTATTTCTTAGCTGTACTGCCTCTTGAAATAACAATTCTGTGTATTATTATCTGTTTTATAAAGTGCTTTCATAGACTCTCACTATCTGAAATGCTATGTGTAAATTTTTATAATTCAGTATCAGATGTAATACTAAGGCGTTACTAAAGTGTTCATTCATTTGATAAATATGTGTCAGCTGCCTGAGTTGGGCCTGGCACAGAAGCAGGACACCAAACCTTGCAGGATGCACCGTAGGGACCCCTGTGTGAGTTTCCTAGGGCTGCCATTCAAAGTACCACAGAATGGGTGGCTTGAGACAGCAAAAAATTATCCTCTTACAGTTCTGGAGACTAGAAAGTGTCAAGAGGGCCGTGATCCCTCTAGGGGAGGATCTTCCAGCTCTGGTGGCCCCGGCAAGCCTTCCTTGGCTTGCAGCTGCGTCACTCCAGTCTCTGCCTCCATTGTCACATGGCCTTCTTCCTGTGTGTCTTTTCTGTCTGTTACAAGAACACTGTCACTGGATTTAAGGCCCACCCTCATCCAGCATGATCTCACCTTAAGCCTTTGCTTGAGTACCTCTGCAAAGACGTTATTTCCAAATAAGGTCACATTCTGAGATTCCACGTTGACATGAATTTGGGGGTCGGGGGGGACACTATTCAACCCACCACAGCTCCCCAAAGTCATCTGTGCCCAAACTCCCATCCTAAGTTTTAAGGGCTACACCTGGCTTCTGGGGTTCCGGGATTCAATCAGTTTTCTTTTTGACTTGGCAAGCTTCGGGAAGACCACTGCTGGCATTTCAGACCAGTGTCTGATACTTGCGTTTGTCTTTAAATGTCAACAGCTCCACCCTCCACACAGTTTGAGTCGCCCTCCGGGGCTCCTCCAGTCCTGTCACGTTGGTGAGACGTGGCCACGAGAACTAGGCGCTGGATCAAGGGCCTGTGGCCTCAGGCTTTGATTCCAGACAGTGTAGTTTTTCTCCCAACCTTCCAAAACCATGTCACTTTATTAAACCCAAATTATATGGACCGGGGACTTCCCTGGTGGTCCAGTGGTTAGGACCCCACACTTCCACTGCTTGGGGACCCAGGTTTGATCCCTGGTCAGGGACCTAAGATCCTGCATGCCGCGTGGTGCAGAAAAAAAAAAAAATTATATGGACCAGTGACCAGCAGCCATGGCCTATGGGCCAAACCTGGCCTGTCACCTGTTTCTATAAATAAAGTTTTATTAGAACACAGCCAGGATCATTCGTTCACATGTCAGCCATTTTTGCTCCTGTGCTATGATCGCAAAGTCTAGTAGTTGTAACAGAGACCAGGTGGGCCCGAAAGTATCTGGTCCTTTACAGAAGAAGGTTGCTGACTCTGGTCTAAACGATACACACTAAGCAGTGTGATAGACAGACAGTGCATGCCGGTCAGCAGTGTGTTAGCCTCACTTGCGTTCTGGAAGGTGTGTTCTGGCCACGCTAAGCACAGCATGGACCCACTGTCTATCCCAACACTCACAGGTTCTCCCTGTTTCCATAAGACTTCAACTGTGGAACAAGGGACTGGTCTCAGCAAAGTCAGCCTGCTCACTTTCTCACCAGTGGATTCGTTTCATGGAGAGTTCTAATCCATTTCCTCCTAGTGCCGCTGAAGGTACCCGCTTCCTGGCTTCAGATGGGAACAGAGTGGTGCAGAGTGGGCAAAGGACTGGTTTAAAACGGTCAGAGAAAACCATAAACAAGAGACCTCGATTAAGCAGGTTCCAGCAGGATAATTGCAAAGGTCAGTTCCATCAGGAAGGCAGAGAATGTTGGAGACCCAGGAAACGTTTGCACGGTTAGAAATTCGCACCCTCCTCCTCTTTCTTTTCCTCCTCCTCTCCCTCTTCCTCCGAAAGAGTCGAAGAATGTAGGAGGCACCTGTCACCGCATGGCTCTGGGGACATCTGGTGGTGAGAACCAAGGCAAGGTCACGGGAAAGAGAAAAATGCCACAGGCACCGCCACGGTCCATCCAGTGGTTCTTGTGGCACCAAAGGCGTTTGGGAGGGGGATGGGGGAGTCCTGGGAGAGTGGGTAAAGATGGGATTGAGGCAACACTCTCAGATCAAACACGCACACACATCTTTCTGCTTCCCTTAGGCAAATTATTTTCATCTATTATCAGTTTATATTCTTTTAAAAAGGATTTGAAAAAAATTCTCCACCCATTATTGGAGGTGGGGACTCTTGGGGCTGTAGAGAAACATATATCAAAGCTCTGGCCGTAGGTCCTGGGCACCGTGGTATGTGCCATGCTGTCCAGGCCTCCCTGGGGGTCAGGAGCTGGGAGACTTCACTCCTGGGGGAATGTGCTCAGAGCCGCAGCCAGGACGGGACAGGGATGGGGACAGGTGTGTGTGGCCACAAAACCACCTCTATGCAGTTTGCGGATTGAAGTGCTTCTCCAAAGACTTAAGGTAGCCAGTGTTTATTAAAAAGTGAACAGGGGGGCTTCCCTGGTGGCGCAGTGGTTGAGAGTCCGCCTGCCGATGCAGGGGATGCGGGTTCGTGCCCCGGTCCGGGAAGATCCCACATGCTGCGGAGCGGCTGGGCCCGTGAGCCATGGCCGCTGAGCCTGCGCGTCCGGAGCCTGTGCTCCGCAACGGGGGGGGCCAAAACAAGGGGGGGCCCCCATACCGCAAAAAAAAAAAAAAAAAAAAAAAAAAAAGTGAACAGGGTTTGACTTTCAGCATTTTCCTGGAGTGACTATCGTCTGCCACTGCATGCTGAGATTAAATGAATCTTGGTGGAGAATTTTTAAATTACCTTCTTGAAAGATATCTACACCTGGCTGCAGAGAAACGTACTCGTCTGCTTTCTCATGGGCAAAGGAGCAGAAGGCACTTTTTCTTATTGCTGAAATGCCTGAGGATTTTTCTCCAGCCCCAAGGGATGAGCCATTTCTTTCTCTGCTATCACCTTTTTTCTCCCTAAACCAGTGATTCTTAACCAGCGTTGAATCCATCCCCCCCCGCCACCCCCCAGGGACACTGGGCAATGTCTGGCCACATCTGTGGTGGTCGCGACTGGGCGTGCTCCTGGCATCAAGTGGGTGGGGCCCGGGATGCCAGGGCCCAGGATGGTCCCGCAGAACGTGAATGACCTGCCCAGTGGCAGCAGTGCCGAGGGGGAGACCCTGCCCTAGGAGGATGCGCTTATAGTTTGGGGTGCAGTAGCTCCGCAGATGGCCAGCATCCCCCAGGAGCTTTTGGTTTTGTCGGTAAATGAGTAAAGAAGTCGTATGAGCCTGATCAGATCGGAAAGGGGGAGCTGTTGTCCCCTGCATTCAGGAATTCCTGCAGAGCTATTTTTTCGGGTTTATATTTGGACAAACATCCCCTGCCCCCTCCCTTCTCTCTTCTTATGGAACAGTTGTGCAACCTCTTCCCCGCTTCCCCTTCCTTACCTAGTCTGGCCAGGATCCCTGCATTTGGACTTGGAAGACTGCAGGTCATTACCGCTCGCCTATCGTGTATGTTGCCTCTTTGGGCTTCGTGAAGACAGCCCTGCCCCACTCACTCTCTCTCCGCCTCTCTTTAGAACTGAGCATGCAGAATTCAGAGGGTGGATCGGATTCGCCGGCTTCCGTGGCTCTGTGTCCCTCGTCAGCAGCCCAGGCGCCTGTGGCCCAGCCTGTGCCAGCCTCGCCACAGGTAAGGGACCAGCCGCCTGCCGCTCAGGCCGCTCCGGGAAAACCAGCGCAGCCAGGGTGGGGATGCGTCCACCTTGGTTTTGAAAAAACATTTGAATCAGCAGAGCGAGGAATCTCTATTTTTCTGAATTGACTTCTCAGCTCCATGGCTGCTGCTGTTGCAACGCACCCTCATTTTCCTTCCTCACCCCATGTTATTAGACTTTTTCACTGTTTGTTGTAAAATGGTCCCACCAAGGAATCGATGATCCAAACTCACAAAGAAAGCCCTTCCCCGACTTTGATTTAGTCCATTCTTGTCTGCTAGTGGTAGTTTTCTTGTACATTGGAAATGACCCTTCTACACAGAAAGCCTTTCTATCCATAAGGCAAAAGAGAAGTGAGAATTCTTAGGATTTGGTTCATTAATTGAATCTAGTATTAGAATCAGTATATTCTTTAAAATTTGCAGAGAGAGAATTTTCACATTAAGGCTCTCCCAACTTCTAGATTTCTATAGTGGATTGAAGTACACCATTAAGTAGACATAAACATAAAATTAGTGACATAAATCTACCAGAAACCGAAGGTAACAGAACAGACCAAAATCATAGACATGTGCAGAGGTCCACTGTGGCCACGTGATCATCTATGATTTACAAATCTAAAAGTTAGGAGCACGACAGAAAGAATTGATTATGGCAAACAAACAAACAAACAAAAAAAACCCCAAAAAACGTAATTCAGCAAAAGCCAAAAGGCAAACATCAAAGCCGTTTATTCAGTTTAGAATGTGCAGTTGGACATGTTTAGCATTTATTTCTTGGAAGTGTGGCGGCCCCAGCATGGGTGCCAAGAGGGCGTGATCACTTGCAGTGTGGTCTAATTGATTGTTTCCTTGCCCACTGAGCCTGATGCGTGAGCCCTCCACCCCATGGAGCCCTCCACCCTCTCACCAAACCCCCCGTCTCAGGCGCCCCTGGGCCTGGGTGGCGGCTGCCTTCACTGTAGCGGCTGCAGGCTGACTGGTCCCAGGGTCCTGCCATGGCCACCGTGTACATCCCAGGCTCCAGGGCTCCAGGCCCTGATGGAGATGGATCCAGCCCCGCACCCCCTGCCTCGATGGTTGTGTCCCCGCCCCCGTCGGGCACCTCTCTCGCCTGCAGTCTGCACTACACTCCCTAAACAGTGAGCACCCAGTTCATCCCCAGTAAGGGGCGTTCTTGCTCCCACTGTCCCCATGATGCACTCTTCCTGCTTCCACTCTCAGTCCTGGCCATCCACCAGGACTTCCCACCACAGTGGGCGTGTTCTGCCACCAGCCCCACCAGGCTCCGAGCACTGGCAATGTAGCCAGTGCCGCTGAGGAACTGAATTCTGCAATTCATTTAAATGGAAGTAAATTTCAGCGTCCACAGAGCTACACAGCTAGTAGCTTCCGTATTGGACAGCTCAGCTTTGGAGTGTGTGCGTGTATATCCTTAATATTCTTATTTATTTGAGGCGAAATTCACATGGCCCAAAATTCACCATTTTAAGGTGAACAATTCAGTGGCGTTTAAGACGTTCACAGTGTTTTGCGACCTCCACCTCTATCTAGTTCCAGAACATTTTCATCCCCCAAAGAAGAAACCCCGTCCCCATGAGCAGTCACCCTCCATCCCTCTCCCCCAGCCCCTGGCAACCACGAATGCACTCTCTGTCCCCGTGGAGTTGCCTGTTCTGGACGCTTCGTGTAAATGGAATCACACACTGCATGGCCTTTTGTGTCTGGCTTCTCTCACTGAGCGTTATGTTCTCAAGGTCCATTCACATTGTAGCGAGTGTCATTGCTTCTCTCCTTTTTCTGGCTGAGTGATGTTTCCATGTGGGTTTATCCATCCACCCTATTGATTTCTATACCATCTGTGTTCTCTTTGCCTCTGGAGGGCCGAGTGTATTGAATTCTTATTAGAACAGTGGTGTTTTATAAAGCCAAGCCCCGCAGAATCACCACACTGTTGATACTTAGGGTCCAAGTAGGACGACCATAGACTCACAGTTGATGACTTCCAAAGCCCAGCCTTTACAGAAACAAAGCGCTCTATTTCCTCCCTCACCTTGAGGGTACGTTTTGATCCTTCATGTTTTCCTAGCTTTGTCCAACCAGTCCTCCAGGCCAAGTGACAAAGCCACACTGGGAAGATGGCTCAGGGGCCCAGAGAGCAGTCTTGGAGTCCAGGAGGGGCCTGGACTGAGTCTGGGTTGTAGAACTTCTGATGCTGAGGCCGCAGGACATAGACCTGGCCTTGACCATTCTAGGCTTCCTTTTCCCTCGTGTGTAAAATGGGGACAGGTCCAGGGGCTACTGAGAAACAATGGGGTGTGACCCAGCTCGTCCGGCGGAGGAGGTGGTGTGGACGACCAGCTTCGGCATCCAGCTCTCAGCCCATGTCACCTTGATGACTATCGACCCCAAGGAGGCAAAGCTGCTGGGTGTGTGTGTGTGTGCGTGTGTGTGCACGTGTGCTCGAGTCCCCACTGTGCCTGCCTAAGTCAGCCTGAGCTGCGTGTGTGTGCGCCCACCTCTCCTTTCCTACCCGTCCCGCTATGTTTCCATAAAGCGACAGTGGGCGCAGTTGAGCTGTGACCTGTGTTTGTTTCCAGGACTAACCTCTGACAAGCCTAAATGTCCTCTTTCCTTCCCTTTTAGAGGGTGTTGGTCCAGGCAGCAGGCTCGGCTCCCAAGGGGGCTCAGATGCAGCCCATCTCCCTCCCCAGAGTGCAGCAGGTGCCACAGCAGGTAACCACAGCACAGGTGACTCGGGACGAGGTTGGCACGTAGCACCTTGGAGCCCTGTCTGAACGATGATGCATGCTTTTCTGTTGTCGCTGTTCCTTTTCGTTTGATGTGTTCAGTTCCTTACCAGAAAGTTCTTTTGGAAGCTGTGTTAAAAAAAAAAAATCTTTTGCTGCAGATAGGTTGCATCAAGCGAAGAAAACTTATGATCTTTCATTCATTCAGATATTCAGCCTTTGGGGCACAGGCGAGCCCCTAGATAGAGCATGGGGTGCAGCGGTAGACACACAGGCAGATAGAGGAGGTTTCTGGATTGGAGGAGCACCGAGCCCCCTGGGGAGGCAAACTCATCTGCAGGCAAGTGCTGGACCCTCAGACGGGCACTTCTTGTGAAATTAAATGATTTGAGAAGAAAGCTTGAATGTGTGGGCTCACCAGCCAAATCGCAGCCCAGATCATCAGCTCAGACAGGCGGTGTGATCTGAGCAGGGGTTGGCAGACCTCTTCTGGGAAAGGCCTAGCCGTACATCTTTCTTTTTTGACTTTGCAGGCCAGATGGTCTCTGGCACAACCATGCAACACTCGCGAAAGTCACAAAGGAATGGTGTGGCTGTGTGCCAATAAAGCTTTATTTATAAGAACGTGCGGGCCGGATTTGACCCGAGGGCCAGAATTTGCCGACTCCTGCTCTGTAAGATGCTGAATTAAAATTCGTTCAGGCTCCTGCCTGAAAGGAACCCGGAGCATATGGAGATGGCGAGACCCCAGAGGACACACCTCTCCCTTCGAGGGGCTCCTGCCCAGAGTAGTAGGGTGTTTAGAGATGTTTGCCTGGTGCTGTGTGATTTTCGGGGTCCTAGGGGAGAAGCGAAGGCATGGGGGTGGGGGTGGGGGGCTAGCAGGGAACCAGCGGCCCTGCTTTAGCTCCTTGAGGGAGGGGCGACCACGACTCCTGTGATTCCAGAAGCTTGCCCTCCTCTGTGGGGTTGGGCCTGTGCCTGCTGTTTCTCCTGGGCCACCCAGACTTGGGGGCTGACCTCTGCATCTTACCCAGTCCGCTAAGACAAAGGGGGTTGTGTGTGTGCATACGTCCCCCGGGTTGGGCTGTCCTCAGAGGTGGGAATTGGCCCTGTCCTGCTGCTGCATGAGAAGGCCTACAGAGAGGGCACGATGAGACTGGCCCTCGATTTTCTGACCCCCAAACAAGGTTGAATCAGGGACCCGCTAAGCCTCCCTCTGCGGTGGGGTCCCGAAGTTCTGCACACAGAGCTCTGGGCCTCCACCAGCAGGGCCCGAGTCCCTTGGGGGTCATCAGCTGAGGCTGTGAACTGACCAACGAGGGAGGGGTCTTCCCACCGGCCTCCTCCCTCCACCCCCCCGCCCCACTCCAGGTACAGCGCTCCTGCTAATTCTGCTCAGACCTTCAGAGTCTCTTCCAGCGTGGCTCCCAGGACCCCGACCTGTTGCTGGGGACGGCCTCCAGGGCCACCGAAAAGAGTGGCAGGGGGCGGTGGAGCGCACGAGCAGCTTGAGCCCCTCCCCTGCCAAGGGGCCGTGGGGGCATCGGGCGCGCCGAGGTCCGCATTCCGTCCACATCTCTGGCGTCTGCTGTCCAGCAAGACTGGCCCCTCTGCCCAGTGGCCAGCAGACCGCAGGCATCCCCCAGCCCTGCTCTGCACCTTTGCTCTGAGCTGGGCTCCTCCCCGCCCAGAATAGGGGCCCAGACCCGCTGCGGTTCCATTTCCGTTTGCGCTCATCCGGAATACGGGGCCTTGACGTGACTGTCTCCCCTGGTTTTTTTAGAAGTGCCAGCTGGGGGCAGGACAACTGTGATGTGGTGCTAAGTGTTCACAAAAGGCAATAGGAGATATTTCTGCCTGAATAATCTGGAAGTCCTGAGCAAGGAAGACTCCGTGTAACACCAAGTATCTGCTGTTGTTTCAGGTCCAGCCCGTGCAGCACGTGTATCCCCCCCAGGTGCAGTACGTGGAAGGGGGGGAAGCCGTCTACACCAACGGAGCCTTGTACGTGGTGTCCTCCCCCTCCCCCGAAAGGGGCCTCACAGGGAACCAACTGTAGGCCACATCCCAACCTTCTGTCACGACGTCCACTGAGCTCCCTTGGGGATGTGTTTACACAGAATCCTTTCCCTTACCCTTCGGGTGACGTGTCCCAACTATTACAATGGCATAAGGACATCACAGCCTGGTGGAGATTTCAGAAATCACAGACTGTTATACTTTTACTTCTAGAAAAGGCAGTCTTTAAAAACAAACCCAAAAAACCAATCCACCTTCGAAGTCTGAAGATATCCTTTGCAATCCAGAAACCGTGTCCATCTCTGCTTTTTCATCCTGGCCTCTGTTAACCTCTGGCTTTTTCTGATGTTGGTAAAACTTGATCTTCCATTTGTCAAGGACGTCTAGGGTTTTCTGCCTTCAAACTCCGTGGTGCTTGGGGCAGAAAATGATGCGTTTCCCAGAAGCTCACTGTGCTCGGGATGCGCGTCCTTTTGCTTGTTTCTGCCTCTGGTTTCCACGACTCCCGTCCTGAGGGCGAGGGAGGGTTTGGTTGTGGTTAAAGAGATGTGATTGCTGGAGTCGTGGGCGCCCGCAGCACAACACTGAAGGCATGACGCACACTGACCCAGAGGAGCGCGTGTGAAGCCTGTGAGCCCCCAGCAGGCTCTGGGGGACCCTCCGCAGCAGCATCCTGGCTCCACTGCACTGCGGTCAGACAGGACGTCCCCCGGGGGCCGGAGAGGCTGCCCTGTCCCCCAGAGGGGCCTTCCCTCAGTCACCCCTGAGGAAAAACCCCTCCTGACCGGCTTTCACTGCGGCCGGATGTACATCAACCGACATGGTTAATGATTTGATCCAGATGTTAAAGGATTTCAGACAAATTCTTGGAATCCCTTAGACATTCTTTTTATTATGCAATTACATTTTTTTTAAAAATACTTTCTGGTTTGAAAGAACTAGAGACTCCCAGGAAGTTGCAAAATTAGCCCAGAGTCCCTTGTACCTTTCACCCAGCCTCCGCACCCCCGGTGGTGACATCTTCTATGACTGCAGGATGGTATCAAAACCAGGGCACCACATCGGGCCATATTCAGCTTCACAGCCTTTAGGCGCACGTGTGCACACGAGTGTGTGTGTGTGTGTGTGTGTGTCTACAGCTCTACGTGGTCTTATCCCAGGGGTAGACCTCCAGTAACCAGGGTCAGGTCCAGCCCTGCTCCACCCACCAAGCCCCGCCCCACCCACCAAGCCCCGCCCCCGTCAAGTGCAATTTGCACGTGCGGTTTGTAAATGACAAGTTGCTGAGGGATCAGCTGGGATCCCGAATGCTTTCGGAGACCATGGCTGTGAACTCGCTGTATTGACAGCCGGGTCTGACTTAGCCACGTGCTCGGCGCCGTGGTTTCCGGCGTTTACGTGAAGCCTTCTCTCTCCCGCCAGGCGGACGGCGTATGCCTACAACCCCGAACCCCAGATGTACGCCCCCAGCAGCTCCGCGTCGTACTTCGAGGCCCCGGGCGGTGCCCAGGTGACCGTGGCAGGCTCCTCCCCGACGGCAGTCCCCGCCCACAGCATGGTGGGCATCACCATGGATGTCGGGGGCAGCCCCATCGTCTCCGGCACGGGAGCCTACCTCATCCACGGGGGCATGGACGGCACCCGGCACTCCCTGGCGCACACATCCCGCTCATCACCCGCTACGGTATGTACGTCCCAGGCTCTCGGGGGCAGCAGGTTAGGCCCTGAATAGACTCCCGGCAGCAGCAGGGACGGTGAGTAGAAGGCAGCCGGGAGCACGGGCGTCGGAACCCCACTAGCCTACGACAAGCGCCCCCGTCTTTGAACCTCGGGTCCTCCCTTGGTAAAGACAGAGGGTAGATGGCTGTAGCCAGTGCTGGGAGCGTTGCAGATGAGGAGGCAGCTCAGTGCTGGGAGATGCTGCTGCCGCTGGTGGTCCACCATGACCGTCCTCATCGTCATCAGCCTCTCCCAGGCGGAGATCAACACATCCCCGCGAAAACTAGGCTGAACCCAAGCAGAGCTATACTGGACTGGTACCCCACACCTCTGTCCAAAACGGTGGCTTACCTGCTTTAAAGATGTATCTGCTTTGAAAACTCTATTTCCCATATTTACTCTTATTTTTTAAATTAGCACAGAGTAAAGTGGACGGTGTGGGCTGCACAGGCCCATGAGTTTTGACTCACGTACAGACTCGGGTATCTGTCCCCACATCAGTACACAGAATGGTTGCATAACCCCCAAAACTCCCTCGGGTGTTTCTTGGTAGTCACGACCTCCTCTCACCCTCAACCCCTGGCACCCGTGGGTCTGCTCTCCGTCACTGTACTGTTGTCTCTGTGGGGATGCCGTATAAAGGGAATCATCCAGGAGACTCCTTTTGTGACTGGCTCCTTTCACCCAGTGTGGAGCCTGGAGATCCCGTCCAGCTGTCCTGTGAGTCAGTGGTTCCTTCTTGTTGCTGAGTCATGTTCCGTGACCCTAACGGCTCGTTCCTCCATTCACCAGCTGCGGGGCCATTTGGGCTGTTTCCAGTTTTTCGTGATTGTGAATAAAACAGCTAGACGGACTCTCATGTATAGACACATGTTTTCCTTTCTTTGGGGTCAGTCAATACCTACGAATGGGATTGCTGGCTCCTACAGTAAGTGTATGTTTAACTTTATCCGAAACCACCCGTGTTTTCCCCGGGGGGGGGAGGTACCATTTCGAGCTCCCCCAGCCAGGTGTGAGTTCCTCTCGTCCCACCTCGTCACCAGCATTTTTTGTTGTCGGGTGTTGTCAGCATCTTTCTTTTTAGCCATTCTCATCGGTGTGTGGTGTTATCTTACTGTGGTTGTCATTATGCATTTTCGTAATCGCTAACGATGGCCAGCACCTGGTCAGGGGCTTTGCCTTTCATGTATGTTCTTTGGTGATACGTCAGTTGAAGTTTGTTTATTTTTTTAACTGTGTTGTTGGTTTTCTTACTGTTAATTTTGAGAATTGTTTGTATGTTCTGGATACAAGTCCCCTGCCGGATATGTGATTTGCAAATATTCTCTCCCAGTCTTTAAAGTGCTTTTTCATTCTCTTAAGAGTGTCTTTTGGGGACTTCCCTGGTGATCCAGTGGTTAAGACTCCACGCTTCTACTGCAGGGAGCCCAGGTTCAGCCCCTGGTTGGGGAACTAAGATCCCACATGCTGTGCTCTGCGGCCAAAAATTTAAAAAAAAAAAAAAAATTTTTTTTTTGAAGTGTCTTTTGCAGAGAAAAAAAAAATTTTCCCGATAATTTTGATCAAATCCAATTTAACAGTTTTTCTTTTTTGGAAAGATCGTGCTTTTGATGTCATGCCTGAGAACTCTTCGCCTGTCCCGAGGTCGTGAACACTTTCTCCTCTGTTTTCTTTGAAAAGTTTTATAGTTTTACATTTTACATTTAGCTCCGCTTCATTCTGAGCTAACTTTTGTATAAGACGTAAAGTTTATGTCGAGGTTCATTTTTATGCATATGAAACAACCAGTTGTCCCAGCATCATTTGTTAAAACACTGTCCTTTATCGGATTGCTTTTCCACATTTGTCAAAAATCAATTGGCCTGGGACTTCCCCAGTGGTGCAGTGATGAAGAGTGCCTGCCAAGGCAGGGGACACAGGTTCGATCACTGGTCCGGGAAGATCCCACATGCTGTGGAGCAGCTAACCCCGTGTGCCACAACTACTGAGCCTCTGCTCTAGAGCCCGTGAGCCACAACTTCTGAGCCCATATGCCACAGCTACTGAAGCCCGCGCGCCTAGAGCCCGTGCTCCGCAACAAGAGAAGCCACTGCAATAAGAAGTCCGCACACCACAGTGAAGAGTAGTCCCAGAAATGGGTAAACTGGCTCCTCTCACTTTATTCTTCAGTATTATATTGGCTATTTATATAGATTTAGAATTTTCTATATAGATTTTAGATCAGTTTATCTTTATTTCCAAAAAAAATTCCTAGTGAGATTTTGATTAAACAGCATTAAAGCTGTGTATCAATTTGGGGAGAATTGACATCTTTACTATGTTGGGTCTTCCAATCCATGAACGTGGTGTGTTTTCTCCATTTATTTAGCTCTTCTTTGATTTCTTTCATCAGCATTTGGTCATTTTTAGCATGCAGATCCTGTACTTATTTTGTTATATTTATGCCTAGGTATTTTTTGGTTTTGGAGTTTTTTTTTTTTTTTTTTTTTTTTTGGCTATGTTGGGTCGCAGCTGCAGCATGGGGGCTCTTCGTTGCGGCGCGCGGGCTTCTTGTGGTGTGCGGGTGTTCTCTCTCTAGTTGTGGCGCGCAGGCTCCAGGGCGCGTGGGCTCTATAGTTGGCGGCATGCAGACTCTAGTTGAGGCGCGCGAGCTCAGTAGTTGTGGCGCACGGGCTTAGTTGCCCTGCGGCGTGTGGGATCTTAGTTCCCTGACAAGGGATCGAACCCACGTCCCCTGCATTGGAAGGCGGATTCTTTACCACTGGACCACCAGGGAAGTCCCCTGGAGCTATTTTAAATGGTACTGATTTGAAATTTCAGTTTTCAACTGTTCATTGCTAGTGTACAAAAGTATGGTTGATTTCTGGTTCTTGACCTTGCTTCCTGTGACCATGCTGAACTCAGTCTTTAGTTCTAAGAGTTTTTTGTGGTCTGCAAATAGGAACAGTTTTAGTTCTTTTCCCGTGTGGGTGACTTTTATTTCTTTTTCTCGCCTTATTGCACTGACTAGAACGTCCAGTACGATGCTGTGTAAGAGTGGTGAGAGTGGACATCCTTGCCTTGTTCTCAGTCTTAGGGGAAAAGCTTCAGTCTTTCACCCCTAAGTGTAATGTTACCTGTATGTTTTTCACAAATGCCTTTTTTCAGGTTGAGGAAGTTTCCTTCTATTCCTAGTTTTCTGAGAGTCTTTATCATAATTGGATGTTGAGTTTTGCCAAATGCTTCTTTCTTATTGATATGATCACGTGTTTTTTCTTCTTTAGACTACGAATGTGATGGATTTTATTGATTGATTGTCAATTAAAAAATAACTTCCTGGGCTTCCCTGGTGGCGCAGTGGTTGAGAGCCCGCCTGCCGATGCAGGGGACACGGGTTCGTGCCCCGGTCCGGGAGGATCCCACATGCCACAGAGCGGCTGGGTCCGTGAGCCATGGCCGCTGAGCCTGCGCTTCCGGAGCCTGTGCTCCGCAATGGGAGAGGCCACAGCAGTGAGAGGCCCGTGTACCGCAGAAAAAAAAACAAAAACAAAGCAAAAAAAAAAAACTTCCTATTTTTGTGTGGGCTTAATCTGAAATAGAAGATGATGTTCGAGCCTCATCCCTGTTCTCTTGGTCCTGATGTGTTTCCGGGTCACCCTGACATTAGAGGCCTTCTGAGCTTAGCTGTTCTCTCCCTTTCTATGTCCAGGGTGCTCCCCAGGACCTGGCTCTGAGGACAGGCATGGAGAGAAGTCATTTGCTGTCTAGAGCGGTGACTGTGGGGTGGTGCCTGCCACTCCATCCCAGGGGCACCAGCCTGTCCCTTGCCTCACTTGGGCCCTCCAGGGTCCTCAGCACACCCTCAGAGGATTGGGTGGCAGACCTGAGTGTAGAGCTGCCGTTGATCAGAAGCCTTCCTCACAGACTACATTAAGTTTCACGAATGTGACGTCTCCATATCAGCAGACTGCATCAACTCATAATAGTGAATAAGCTGGGGTCGCAGGTCACAGGTCATGATATTCTCTGCAGTGCACACTGCCTCGCTGGAAACAGATGTGCAGCTCAGACCCCGGGCCGCCTGGTTACTGTAGTCTGATGTCTGGGTTGCACTAGAAGAATCGAGTTTTTAAATCAGTTGGAAATCCACGAACAGGCTATGTTTTGACCCCCTGCCCACCCCCAGCCCCAAAAGCTCCAAGAGTTATCACCTTGGATGAGCACCTGCCTCCAGACTCCCTCTGCTCTGTTGTGGGTTTTTGACTTGCTTTTGGTGTGGGGACATCTCACAAGGATCAGCAGAGATCCAACCAAGAGCCAGGAACAGGACTGGCCCTGAGGCTGCGACAGAAATAACGATGGCTCCTGGGTCCGGCATTTCGCGTCTATCAGTTTCCTTATGTCAGAGTTGTGTTTCCAGGGACTTCAAGTTAATCCTGCAAACAGAGCACAAAGACCAGAGCAAATCGGCACCTACAGCCCCAGTGAGGGACTTCAGACTTTCAGTGACACATTTGTTTGAATCTCATTTCTGGTTAAAATTTCATCAGTATTGAAATCTTAGAAGTGAATTGCCCAAATGGTAAGTTTTTGATAACTTTTCCTGTTGTGCTTTTTTTTTTGACCCCCTGGAGCAGAGATGCTAAGCTGAGAGGTATGCTCTTTGGGTTGTAACAAGGGGAGACTCTGGGGGCTCCGGGACTGCATGAGGAAAAGCCCCCCTGCCACCATGCCAAGCAGGCGGCCCCCCTGGGCCACGCAGCGGAGGCTGATGAAGACAAATCGTCTATCCAATTTTGAAGATGATAAAAATACAGCATCCCTGTCCGTGAGGGGATGTACCATGGCGATGTCTCATCAGGGCTCTGGGACCTGGTCTGGTGAAGACCCGTTGGACTCTGCATTTCCAGGAAGTCAGAGAGGGCCAGCACACAGGCAGTGGTGGCCCTGGGTGCTCCAGTCCCACGGAGGTTGGGGGCTGCCTGC